GGGTCTATAGTATTTCCAAGAGTTTGAGAATATCTAAAACTTCTAAAATCTATAAAATCTCAAAAGATACCGGGTTTTGAAATTTTTTGTGAATCGTTGAAAGAATCATCAAAATTTTAGAATTTTCAAGGCCTTCAGAGTGTGAGAATACCTACAATCTTTCGCGTCTCTGGAATTTATTGAACTTCTGCGGTATTTATGATTTCGGAAATCCTAAAAGTCTATATCTAAGAATCCTGAAATGTCTAAGATTTCTAGGATCTCTGAAATCTCAAAAGTTACAGGGATTTTGAAAATCTTTGATCGGAAGAATTTTCAGAATTACAGTATCTTCAAGATCTTCAGAATCCTGAGAATTCCCAGAGATTCCAGAATCGTTCGCGTTTCTGGAATTTATTGAACTTCTGTGTTAATAATGATTTTGAAGATCGTTAAAGTCTATAGTATGTCTAAGATTTCTGGCATATCTAAGACTTCTGGGATCTCAAAATCTCAAAAGTAGCAGGAATTTTGAAAATCTTTGATCGGAAGAATTTTCATAATTTCAGTAGTTTCAAGATCTTCAGAATCCTGAGAATTCCCAGGGATTGCAGAATCGTTCGCGTCTCCGGAATTTATTGAACTTCTGCGTGATTTATGATTTCGAAGATCCTTAAAGTCGATAGCAGATATATCTAAGATTTCTGGAATATCTAAGATTTCTAGGATCTCTAAAATCTCAACAATTACAGGGGTTTTGTATATCTTTGAATCCTTGGAAGAATTTTCGGAATTTCAAAATTTTCAAATTCTTCAGGGTCTTTAAAATGATGCGAATCTCTGGAATCTTTCGCAGTCCTAGAATTTATTGAATTTTTACAGTGTTTATAATTTCTGGGATTTTTAGGATCTATAGTATATCCAAAATTTTGAATATATCTAGGATTTCTAAAATCTATAAAATCTCAAAATTTACAAGGATTTTGAAATTCCTTGTACTGTTAAAAGAATCTTTCCAATTTCAGGATCTTCATCAAGGTCTCCAGAATCTTGAGAAACCTTAGAATCTTTCGCGTCTCTGAAATTAATTGAGAGTCTGCGTTATTTATGAATTCGAAGATCCTCAAAGTCTATAGTATATCTAAGATTTCTGGAATACCTAAGATTTCTAGCATTTCTAAAATCTGAAAAATCAGAGGTATCTTGAAAATCTATCAATCGTTGGAAAAATTTTCAGAATTTCAGGATCTTCAAGGTCTTCAGAATAGTGAGAATCCCCGGAATCGATCGCGTCTCTGAAATTTAGTGAACTTCTGCTTTATTTATGATTTCGAAGACCTTAAAGTCTATAGCATATCTAAGATTTCTAAAATCTTAAAAATGACAGGGATTTTGAAAATCTTTGAACTGTTGGAAGAATATTCAGAATTTCAAGATTTTCAAACACTTCAAGGTCTTTAGAATAATGGGAATCTATGGAATTTTTCGCATTCCTAGAATTTATTGAATTCTGCAGTGTCTATGATTTCTAGGACCATTAGGATCTAGTTTTTCCAAAATTTTGAGAATATTTAGGATTTCTAAAATCTCTAAAGTCTCAAAAGTTACAAGGATTTAGAAATTCTTTGAAACGTTAAAAGTATCTTTCCAATTTCAGGATCTTCAAAGTCTTCAGAATCGTGAGAATCCCTCGAATCTTTCGCATCTCTGGAATTTAATGAACTTCTGTGTTTTTTATGATTTCCTTAAAGTCTATAGTATATCTAAGATTTCTGGAATATCGAAGATTTCTAGGATCTCTAAAACCTCAAAAATTACACGTATTTTGAAAATCTTTGAATCGTTGGAAGATTATTCGGAATTTCAAGGTTTTCAAACACTTTGATATGTGTTTAGAATGATGGGAGTCTGTGGAATCTTGGGCGTTTATAGAATTGATTGAATTTCCAGAGTTTATGACTTCTAGGTTTCTTAGAATTTATAGGTTTCCAAGATTTTGAGAATATGTACGATTTCTAAAATCTATAAAATCTTAAGAGTTACAAGGATTTTGAAATTTTTTTAACTGTTAAAAGAATCTTCCTAATTTCAGGATTCTCGAGGTCTTCAGAGTCGTGAGAATCCCTGGAATCTTTCGCGTCTCTGGAATTTATTGAACTTCTGCGTTTTTTATGATTTCCTTAAAGTCTATAGTACATCTAAGATTTCTGGAATACCTATCTAAGATTTCTGGAATATCTAAGATTTCTAGGATCTCTAAAACCTCAAAAATTACAGGTATTAAGAAAATCTTTGAATCGTTGAAAGAGTATTCGGAATTTCAAGATTTTCAAACACTTTGATATGTCTTTAGAAAGATGGGAGACTGTGGAATCTTGTGCATTTGTAGAATTGATTGAATTTCCAGTGTTTATGACTTCTAGGTTTCTTAGAATTTATAGCTTTCCAAGATTTTGTGAATATCTAGGATTTCTAAAATCTATAAAATCTAACTCTTAAGAGAATTTTGAAATTTTTTGAACTGTTAAAAGAATCTTCCCAATTTCAGGATTCTCAAGGTCTTCAGAGTCGTGAGAATCCCTGGAATCTTTCGTGTCTCTGGAATTTATTGAACCTCTGCGTTATTTATGAATTCGAAGATCCTTAAATTCTATAGTATATCTTAAATTTCTGGAATAGCTAAGATTTCTAGAATCTCCAAAATCTCAAAAATAACAGGGATTTTGAAAATTTTTGAATGGTTGGAACAATTTTCAGAATTTCAGGATCTTCAAGATTTTCAGAATCGTGATAAACCCTAGAATCGATAGCGTCTCTGGAATTTACTGAACTTCTGCGTTATTTATGATTTCGAAGACCCTTAAAGTCTTTACAGTATATATAAGATTTCTGGAATATTTAAGATTTCTAGGATCTTTAAAATATCAAAAATTACAGGGATTTTAAATATCTTTCCCATTCCAAGAATTTGTTGCATTTCTATAATGTTTATGACTTCTAGAATCCTTAGAATCTATAGTATTTCCAAGATTTTGAGAATATCTAGCATTTGGCAGTCTAAATTTTTGAACTTCGGCAATGTTTATGATTTTTAGGATCCTTAAGATCTAGGATTTGTGGATATCTCTAAAATCTCCAAAATCCCAAAAATTATATGAAAAAAAATTTTTGAATTATTGGTAGAATATCCAGACTTTCAAGATCTTCAAATTCTTCAAATTTTTCAGAATGGAAATCCCTGAATGTTTCGTATCCCTGGAATTTACTGAATTTCTGTCATATTTGTGATCTCTAATAAGGATCTAGGATTTGGAGGATTTTTGAATCTCTAAAATCTGAAGGATTTTTCAGAATTTCAAATTGAAAATTATTTTGAATTTAGAAAATTGTCAAGTTGCTTATAAAATTTTAAGTAATCGGTTTTCCTTTTGAATTTTGAATTTGTAAATATAATACATATTTATTTAATTGTAGGTTTTTGATCAGCCAGGGAATTTCTTCTCTAACAAACTGCTTTCAGACTTAACAGACTTTGCAAGCTTTGCTATTTGGTACCTAACTACATACTACTAGATGATTTTGCAAAAAAAAGTAAAAGTTTTTCTTTCGTAAAATTTTTGAAAGATTTATATATTTATCTGTATATGCTTAATTGTTGAATTCTTTCGAACTCTAAACATAAACAGTCGTAGTTAAGCATGCAGTGAGAATACATTTTTCCGTTGATCATCTGCTTTAAATATATTTTATATGGTACTTGTGTGGACGGCGCCCTCTTGGAATTTGCGCCACTGGATAGCATACTTCTTTACCTGTGCTTGGCTTGAAGTGCAAAGATACTTTTATTTTAGTTTATAGGGGTTATCATAAAATTCGCAAAATAAAATTGCTTTCTAAATAACCTTAGATCAATAGTTGGAAATAAAAAAATGTATCATCTTGAGTTGTAGTCCTTAGAACTAGAATCACGTTTTAGCACTTTTATAAGATCTATTTAAAATATACCGATGGCGTCATTACTTTGTTAAAATTCCGAAAAATATTTATTCTCCTCCTCTGGGGAATTTTTAACCATTCAGCACGGGAAAATATATTTTGGTAAGCTAATGTTTGTATATTTTAAAAGCACAACATATTTGGCATTCGTGTTAATAAGTTAATTTTTATATTAATGAACAAGCAACCTTTATTATAAATTTCGGTTGTGTATACGCATATACAATTGTACATGTTCATTGTGATATATGACCTGGCAGAAATATAAACACATTATTAAAATTTGATGTCGAATTTACATATTAAAAAAAATTACGACATGTCCATTAATGAAATGGTGGGTGGTGCAAAAAATATTCGTTTCGAAACTCTCGAGTATCCATTGTTGCACCTCTGTCAAGCCTGGAACTTTATTCGCTTTTAAAAATCCAATTCCACAAACTTTTTACTATCCTAACGAATTTTTTAAACTTACGACTCTAATCAAGAATTCGTTAACTATTTCATGCCCCTCACCACAAAATCCCCGTCTTAATCCCGAATAACAAACGTGCTAAAACTTCCAATTTTCCCTTTTAACTTTCCGCAATACATATCTAACAGCCATTAAGCACTAAAACTCTTCACAATAACCGCTTCCCACGGCACCGGAAGTAACAAAACCAGAAATTCAAATTTACATAGAAATTCGGCGGGATAATTTCAGCCGGTTAATCTTAATCTTATTCGTATTCCACAAAAAGTGAATTTTCGCTTACCCGACACCTCCTAATCCATAATTAAGAAGAACGAACGTGATATCACCGTTTCGTCGTACACGCATTGTTCCGGAATTCCCGGAGGAAATAACGAGGATTTGTTGACGGGAGTCGTTTAGAAACAACGACGATTTAAATCTTGTCATAATTGGTTTGATGCTAATCGCCGAAACAATATTTTAGGTGTGTAAATGGCACTCGTTGCAGCCGCCCCCATTGCAGTGGGGCGCCGGCGTGCGTCCGCAAACTCCTATAAAAGCTCACACAGGAGACGTCAAACAGTCTCATCGCAACATATCCAAAGTTTCAACAGGTGATCTTCCGACTAGTGCCAGCACAGCGAGATCGTAAGTTTTTTCGTATTTTTGACGGATCGTAGCTTGTTCTTAAAATCAAAAAATATCCATAAATGTTGCTTGATTTAAAAGCTTGTTGCAAATAATGAAAATTAATGAAGTTTTATGCATGGCCGAAGAGATAATTTTGAAAAAGTGTAGGGAATGAAAATGAAATTAAAGTTTTTTGACGCATTTTGAATAAATTTGCTAATGAATAAAATTTCTATTGTTCAAAAAATCAAAAAATATTTTTGCAAACAATGTGTAAGAACTTTTGAATTTTGATTATGCTTTTTTTAAACGGTTGTCTTTGTCAAAATTTTTTCAGGAGCAATTAATTTTGTAAATGAATTCAATGCTCCAAAAGCGATTAATACTTTACACAATAATGGAATAAATTTATATAATATAAATAATTATTTAAACCCGATAATATTTCTAAAAGTGGAAATTAATTTTTGAATTATGACGTCATATGCAATTTATAATCAATTTTACTACGTGATATGTTTTTTTTCTATTTTTTTTGATGAGGATAATTTATTTATTTATAACTTAACACTGACTATAGTTAATGTTTTTTTTTATATAATTTTAGTAAAATTAATTTTTGAAACATTGTGCAACAAAAAATAAATGGGTATTATTGAAGTAATACCACATCTCAAGACATGTTTATCAATAAATACACATTTTAAATGTTTCTAAGATGACGTCATCAACTGTCTGAAGGGCATGATTAAATAAATTTAGTTAATGTTTCTAAGATAACTTGTCAAATTACACTGTCAATTCTTAGTATATAAAAAGTCAAAATGTTGATTGACGTTTTGTGATTTCTATATTAATTTTAAAGAAGAGCTAAAGTTTCATATAAAAAAATACAAATGAGAGACAGACGACGGATTAACCTCAAAGAGAAACTTGCAGTCTTGTATTCTACAAACAGTGCCAAATAATTATTAAATATTAGCCATTGCTAAAAGTATTGTTTAAAAAATTTTAAGAATAATATAATTTTTGGTAAGAAAAAAAATTTTGATTGGGTTATTTTTGATATTTTCGAAAAATTAATCGTTTAAAAGAAAACTTTTCATACAGGGATTTTAAATGTAGCCTTAGTAATTAAAATACATTACATGTATCTATTTAAACATTTTTTTTTCTATCGCATTTAAATTAATAATGTGTCAATGATAACCTGTTCTCTATTAAACAATCATTTAAACCCGTTAATATTTCCAAAAGTGGTAATTAATTTTTGAATTATGACGTCATATGGACTTTATAGTCAATTTTACATTTGTGATATCTTTTTTTTTGGTGAGGATCATTTATTTTGTCATCTATAACTCAACACTGATCATTAGTTACTGTTTTTTATAACTTTGGAAAATTAATTTTTGAAACACTGTGCAACAAAAAATAAATGCCTATTATTGAAGTAATACCACATCTCAAGACATGTTTATCAATAAATACACCTTAAATGTTTCTATGATGACGTCATCAACTGTCTGAAGGGCATTATTAAATAAATTTAGTTAATGTTCCTAAGATCACTTGTCAAATTATGCTGTCAATTCTTAGGATATAAAAAGTCAAAATTTTGGTTGCCGTTTTGTGATTTCTATATTAATTTTAAAGAGGAGCTAAAGTTTCATATAAAAAAATACAAATGAGAGACAGACGACGGATCGACCTCAAAGAGAAACCTGCATTTTTGTATTCGATAACCCGTGCCAAATAATCATTAAATATGAGCCATTGCTAAAAGTATTGTTTAAAAAATTTTAAGAATAATGTAATTTTTGGTAAGAAGAAAAATTTTGCTTGGGTTATTTTTGATATTTTCCAAAAATTAATCGTTTAAAAGAAAATTTTTTATACAGTGATTTTAAATGTAGTCTTAATAATTAAAATACATAACATGTATCTGTTTAAACATTTTTTTTAGCGCATTTAAATTAATAATGTGTCAATGATAATCTATTCTCTATTAAACAATGATTTAAACCCGTTAATATTTCCAAAAGTGGTGATTAATTTTTGAATTATGACGTCATATGCAATTTATAATCAATTTTATATTTATGTGATATCTTTTTTACTTTTTTAATTTTTTTTTGAGGATTATTTATTTTGCCATCTATAACTTAACACTGATCATTAGTTACTGTTTTTTATAACTTTGGAAAATTAATTTTTGAGACACCGTGCAACAAAAAATAAATGCGTATTATTGAAATAATACAGGCTACGCTGTCAATTCTTAGGATATAAAAAGTCAAAATTTTGGTTGCCCTTTTGGGATTTCTATATTAATTTTAAAGAAGAGCTAAAGTTTCATATGAAAAAATACAAATGAGAGACAGACGACGGATTAACCTCAAAGAGAAACCTGCAGTCTTGTATTCTACAAACAGTGCCAAATAATCATTAAATATTAGCTATTGCTAAAAGTATTGTTTAAAAAATTTTAAGAATAATATAATTTTTGGTAAGAAGAAAAATTTTGATTGGGCTATTTTTGATAATTTCCAAAAATTAATAGAAATTGAAAAGAAAACTTTTTATACAGTGGTTTTAAATGTAACCTTAATAATTAAAATATATAACATGTATCTGTTTAAACGTTTTTTTTTCTATCGCATTTAAATTAATAATCTGTTAATGATAACCTGTTCTCAATCATTTAAACCCGTTAATATTTCCAAAAGTGGAGATTAATTTTTGAATTATGACGTCATATGGAATTTATAATCAATTTTACATTTGTGATATCTTTTTTTTTTGGTGAGGATAATTTATTTTGCATCTATAACTTAACACTGATCATTAGTTACTGTTTTTTATAACTTTGGAAAATTAATTTTTGAAACACTGTCTACAAAAAATAAATGCGTATTATTGAAATAATACCACATCTCAAGACATGTTTATCAATAAATATACATTAAATGTTTCTAAGATAACGTCATCAACTCTCTGAAGGGCATGATTAAATAAATTTAGTTAACATTTCTAAGATCACTTGTCAAATTACGCTGTCAATTCTTAGGATACAAAATATATTGCTTGTCATTTTGTGATTTCTATATTAATTCTAAAGAGAAGCTAAAGTTTCATATAAAAAAAAAAAATGAGAGACAGACGACGGATCAACCTCAAAGAAAAACCTGCATTTTTGTATTCAACAACCACACACTAGTTTACAAATTTAAACTTTTTTTCGTATCCAAAAATAAAAAAAATATTTTTTACTTCTAAATTACTTACTGATACCAAATCCAAAAACGGATTATCCTTATCACGTCAGGTTTTTTCATAAATCAAAAATAATGAAATTTGCCCTTACCTTCGCGTTAGTGTCAAATTGATTCATGTTAATGCACCATTGTCGCATAAAAAATGTCTTCGAGATCGTGCAAAGTAAGTGCAAATCAGTTTTGTTACGTTTATGGTAAAATTATAGTACCTAAAGCAAGACCTGTTCAAATATGCTTAAAAAGAAGGTATCAAGGATTTTGGTACGAAAATGTGTTACTGTTGGTCTATTATAAAAGAAACTGTCAGTACTGTCAATAAAAGAAACGCTACTGTTTATCATTTTTAATTTTCGGTCATAATGTTTATAATATATACTGGGTGTTGCTTTTATTTGATACAACCCCTGTAACTTCTTTATTCTTAAAGATAAACATGTATTTCTTTGAGCAAATTTGTATCATTTTAAAAGATCTGTGTGAGGCCAACCTCACATTTTTTATAATCACTTCCCGTAGAAAAATCAAAAGCAACCAATTATTCTAAAATCAATACTTGAAAAATTTTAAATAAAACATTGATGACAATCTAGTAGCTTGAAAAATTGACATTCATGTTATTTATTTACGTAAATGATCTTTTAAAATGATACAAATTTGCTCAAAGAACTATATGTTCATATATATTTAAAAATAAAAACGTTACAAGAGTTGTATAAAAGAAAATAAATACGGGGTATGTTTATATAAATATCTCAAAAACCTGACGTGATAGATTTTTTCTGCTTTCAGATTTGAATTTCCCGAACCCAAATCCTTTAGATTCAGCTATTTTTGTCTTTGGATATAAAACCTTGTAAACTAGTGTAATCATTAAATATATTAGCGATTGCTAAAAGTGTTGTTTAAAACCATTTTAAGAATTTTTGATGAAGAAAAATTTTGATTGGGTTATTTTTGATATTGTCCAAAAATTAATCGTTTAAAAATGCTAAAAAAAAAATTATAATAAAATACATAGCATGTATCTGTTTAAACATTTTTCTATGGTTATTTAGTGTCTCGAATTTGTTATTTATAATTATTTAAAAGCTCAATAATTAAAATTGGATTATGTTCTTGATGCCAATTGATTTTGTGCATTTGGAAAAATATGACAAATTTACATTCAATGCAAATGCATTATTTTAAATGCATAAATCAACAATAAATTTGTATTAATAATTTAAATAAATTAAAATCTATGGTCAATGCAAATACACATTTTGCATGTTTTAGCAATATTAAATTTAATTACATTTCTCACGAATGTTAATAAGTTAAAGATAATTAACGCCAACTGAAATAAAAAAAGTGTTTTTCAACAAAAAATATTTGCTCAATTTTTGTGAATGGGGGTTTAATAAATGAAAACTAAGTAATGATATTTATTTATTACAGATTACGATTAAGCCAAAAATTCGTGAATGAAAAGCTAAAATCAACAAAAAAGACAAACATTTAAACTGATTGATAAAATAAATGTCGTAAGTGGTCGGACAAAATAAATTTACATAACAAAAGAATAAATACTTACTACAATTTCTAGCTAGAGAATTCCCTCAAATATTAATACACGTGACAACCCAAAGAATCTAAATTTATTTCAGAAAATAAGTCACCGTATGAAAATCGTGTGGGCGAAATATTTAAATAAGAATTTGAATATTGTAATTACTTGTTTGCCGAGCAAAAAAGTTGGAA